CTGTCACAGCGCTTCTCAATCTGTCCATCAATGAGAGTAACAGGGAACAAATGTAAATGCAGGAGCTATACCAGATATTGTAGATGTACTGAAAAATGGCAGTATGGAGGCCAGAGAAAATGCAGCTGCAACTCTCTTTAGTTTATCAGTTCTAGATGAGAACAAGATTTCAATAGGAGCAGCTGGGGCTATTCCTGCTTTGATTAGCTTGCTCTGTGAAGGTACTCCCAGAGGGAAAAAGGATGCTGCTACAGCTATTTTTAACCTTTCTATCTATCAGGGAAACAAAGCTAGAGCTGTAAAGGCTGGTATAGTAGCGCCACTAATGACATTTCTTATTGACGCTGGAGGTGGGATGGTGGATGAAGCACTGGCTATACTGGCAATTCTTGCAAGCCATCCAGAAGGCAGGACAGCTATCGGTCAAGCTGAACCAATTCCTATTCTAGTCGAGGTTATACGAACCGGTTCTCCACGGAATAGGGAGAATGCTGCTGCCGTGTTGTGGTCTCTTTGCATGGGAGATCCTCTGCAGTTGAAATTGGCAAGGGACCATGGTGCAGAAGAAGCACTGCGGGAATTGTCGGAAAGTGGCACTGACAGGGCCAAAAGGAAAGCGGGAAGTATATTAGAACTCTTGCAAAGAATGGAAGTGGATGATAATTCGCCAAAGTCTTAATCTCAAGTTTCTTCATGGTTAAAGTTGATTTTTTCTTTCGAAATTATGGTCATTTCAAGGCTTGTTTGAGGTTAAAATCCTCACTGTTGATCTTCAAGGCATATTCTTCCACATCAGTTAGGTGCATTTAAGATTCTAACCTCAGCGTGTTTCTCAAACAATCATTATCATTGGCATAACTTATAGATGTCCAAAAATTATGCGGTAATAAGTATAATCTAGTTCATGCGAGTAGTATTTGAAAGTGATGTATGCTTTTTCTTCATATTTTACTCTCTTGCCCTTGCTGATTTACTTTATATACGCTCAAGCTGTGTAAGAACTTAGTAATTCGTTTGGTTGCCATTTGTCTGTAAAGGGAAATAATGTAAATTCGCTATTGAAGATAAGGACTAGAGATGCTATAATGTGCCAAGTTTGTTTCTGCCACTGTAAAGTTGACTGGAATTTTTGAAATTGATCTATTGAACAGTCATTAAATTACAATGAATTCGTGGATTTTACTCATGCCTTTCCCCTGTTTGTAGTTTTTTGCAACATTTTGCATGTGCTTTTAACTCATAATTTAACCTCCCAACTGCAATTCATCGACCCAGAAGTCAAATAAGGCATGGCTTTGAGGAAGTATTGTAGAATAAGATGACATTCGTTCAGTATTGTTTACTAATAGCTTGCTGGTTTGACTTGCATGTGTTCCTGTTCCAGTTGCGGGTCTGAGTTGCGGGTGTGGTTTCATCATCATATCATATTCCATCTTTTTCTTCCTTTTTTCCCTAGGTTCAAGTAAGGTAATGGTTTGTTAAAACTTTAGCTTTAGGAATGCATATGGGCTAAAAAGTTGGCCCACTAAAAGTTAAGATGACTGGAAGCGGTAACATATCATCAACTTTAAAGGATTAAATCATGTCTTGGCCTGAGAAAAAAATGCCTGAATTATCTGATGAATAAATTACCGATTGAAATGTTAGGAAAAGATGTTTCGGAGAGCATTTTATGAATTTATGCTATGTTTGGTACAAGAATAGAAATGGGAATAAGCAATGAGAGGGGGTTCCAGAAAGTCTATTTGCCTTGCTATGTCTGGAAAGTATAACACTGGGCCTTTTTGTTTTTAATCAAAAAAAGTTTGGGTAAATTGGGTCTCGAGACTTACCAAGGTCAAAGCATGCTTTCAAACTCAAAAAGCATTTACAGAGATACTTGTATATCACCAACTAATAAAGTTTTTATATCAGCAAGAAGATTCAAACTTATGACTTTATAAGTTGAGTTAATTTTTTACTAACTGAATCAACTTTCATTAGTAACACTATGCTTTAATATATCAAATAAAGGAGTCTACTTTTCTCTCTCTTTGATTTTAGAAAGGGGTAGACTTTTCTACATACCAAACATATTATTAGTCTATCAGATCCTTCATGATGTTTTGTGCACGTGGAAGTTGTAATCTTAGTAAATGATTGAATGAGTTGCGGTGTGGGTACAAATATTGAGGGCAATGTGTGGTCTTTTTAAAAGATGATTCGAAGATGCCGTTGTTGTAAAGTTGAATTTGACAGTTTCAAAATCTCCATATGTTATTTGAATTATGTTACGTCGTAAACGTAACAACTGAGGCTATATTTCTATTTTGATAACAGCTGACTACTTGGCATTATGATCTATTACATAGATTTAAAGCAGTTATAGGCACATTGTTTATCGAGAATCCTTAGCTTTGGCTAATAGTTGCATGGTTAGGCTGCTTATATGTATAATTTGCGTTTTGACAGGTTGAAAATTCATATTATACACTTCATTATGGATTTATGGGTCATGAAAATGCAAAATTCCTTGACGATAGCAGAGCAATCGCATCCTTTCTAAAAAAAAGCTACTGGTTCAAAATGGCCAAACTATCGTTACGAATATGATCAAACATTTTACTATGTTACAAACATTTTACTTATGATCTCTTTCCAGAAACAACTAGTTGTCTTGCACATACAGTACATACAATACAAGCTGAATTAAGCTTTGTTCCCAAGTGTTGACTAGCTGAAACCTTTCCTGCATCATTAACCGCTAGGCAGCTATCATTAAGAGTTGTTGTTCCCTTCCAGCCAATCCTCCAACTTAGCATTTTTATCCGCTTTGAAATCATCGTACTTTTTTGATGCCAACAATAACTTATTCCCACAATCAGTAGCCCCACTCTCTTCCAGTTGTTGAGATTCATCTACAACCTGGCTTGATAGAGGTAGCTCGTCGGTTCCCATGCCTTGTAGAGATGACGTAGTGCTTGCAAACATTATTGATAATATTGGATTAGCGTACGCTAGAGGCTTGTCATCCTTGTAATCCATTGGCTCTAAAGGATAAAGTTGTCGCCACTTTAGACTACTAGCTTTCTGTTTTGCTGACTTAAGCACACTGGAAAAATAATTACCCCCTTTTTCACTGCGAGGGCGTAAAACCGAGTATTAACCACCAGAGCTAATTCTGCCTGTATGGAAATCTAAAGTCCATGATTGGATTATCCCTCGTTTTGGTTGTTTCGTTGTCGTAGTTACTAGAGATTTGCTGATATCCCCGATCATCTCGTTAGCTATGGAGAATCCATACTCCTTTTTCATAGATCTCATCATAGTAATAGAGTCTTCAAAATATTCTGTGGGCAAAGTTATTTTATGAGATTTCTTAGCAACATTTCTTTTTAGTTTGATGACATTAGGTACAACATTTTGAGCATGTTGCTAGACAAAGAAAAGCCCACTTGATGCTTCATTAGACACAAATTTAGTTGTCACTGCCAAGCATTCACTCATCTTTACAAAACCATCAATAGCGGAAAACTCATAAATAGTTTCAATTGAAATAGACCACATACAATTGGATGTACATTTTAGTTGAACGTATAAACTCTACAAGTTTTCTGCAATATCAAACACATTGTAATCCTTTTGATGAGTTAGAATGATGTTGAGAAAGAAAAGACGGCCCACACTGTACCAAAATGATGCTACAGCATGAGCGGTAAATTGCATATGAAGCACTTGGATTTGAGTCATTTGACAACAAAATATTTCGATTTGGACTAGTACACATACGAATCACATTAAAACCCCACACTCTAAAGATATTGAGCAGAAAAGTTGAAATCCAAATTCTTTACAATCAAATGCACATAATGAAATGAACCTAAAAACCAATGCCATTGATCAGTGAGAATGAGGATATCATGTCTTTGCTAGAGAATATGACCTTGCACGGGAAATAGTATTGAGTGGAAATACACTAGAAAAATAATCAAGTGCAAGGACAAACATAGGAAGGAAACCAAATAAAAGTGCCAGAGAATACCAAAGAATGGGGCAAGCAGGAGAAAGAGGGGGAATTCGAGATATAAAAGGAGAACGGAAAGAAGGATGAGGGGGACAATACAGAATGGGCACTTACGTGACAAAGGGGAATTGTACCTTACTTTATCAGGCAAAATCTTATAACAGTATAGACATGTCAAGGAATTAGGGGGCTAATAGTCTGACAACCGCAAAAGAAATTAAACTCCATATCCATCAATTTCTTAAAATTTTTCAGAAATTATCCCGCACATATTTTCAAGTTAACTACTCATAGTAAAATCATAATATTTCAAACATATAGTGACTTTTAACTTCGTCCCCATCTCACCAAAACGGCAAAACTTGAACCAATTGGTTAAAACAACATACAGCATATCAGTTTTGAGTTTGTGGATTGGAAACAACGGAAGTCTAATCCTTTTTCCATTGAAGAAAAAATATTGAAAATTGAAAGAAATAATGACTACTTTGATATAAATAACATGTAATTTTCCTCAAGAATCAAGCCGTGAGAGAGCTCTTGAAACAAGGGCTAAACAGATTATTTAAGAAATGAGAATGGAGAAATAAGGCTCACTGGAGCTTGCCCGGAGGCAAAAGACGCTGGAATTGTCGAGAATCGGAGCGAATTAAATCTAAATAGGTGGGATCGATGAAGAACAATGCGGAGACCGGATGAGAACAGTAGCGTAAGACGCACTTGGAACTGAATATGAAAGCGCACGTAACTGACAAAAAAGGCTAGGAGAATTATAATCAAGTCTCGGAAAATGAAGTATTGTTGATGAAATTGTGGGGAGTATTGGTGATGAAACTTGTGGTTCGATCTTGATGCGGTTTAGACTCATTATATGAATTTTATTTTATTATTCTTGGCCTCAGGAATCTGCCACGAGAGGGGAAGACAAAAATGGGAGGGTCCCATTTGTGAGGAGGCATCCGCTGCCCCTTGTGTAGGTGAAAACGATATGATTGGATGGAAGGAGGGTGAGGATCAGCCTTTTTCCGGTTGTGTATTTTCTAGTCGAATGATGCGGAAAAACCATCAACTCAATAACCAGAATCGACTTCTAGAATCTGGATAGTAGAGAAACCACGGGGGGACAAATTTGGATGAACACAATTCTAGATGAAGGTGGAGAAGAAGACTGAAGCATTAGGATTTAAAAAGTGTTTGGATATTTTTAAAAACATTTTTTATAAGTTGAGACAAACTCTTTTATATATTTATTTAATATACTATAAAATTATTTTTAAATTATAATTTAATTTTTATCCAAACTTTACGTAGTGAGGCGGACGAAGGAGAAGAACTTGGAGGTGTTAAAGTAATAGTTTGGAAGGATGTTGAAGACGGAGAAGGCACGAGACAGAGGCTCTGACATAGGTCGGATAAAAAAAAAACACCCGAATATTTGGTTAAAATATGCATTTGATTTTTTAATTTTATATAAAGTTTTAATTTAGTATTTTAACTTTAAAAAGCATGCATTTAGTTCTTTAATTCTAAATCATTATACTTTAATGATTATTTTTTGTAACAATAATAGATATTTTGAAAATTAAATTTAATATGTTAGTATTTGAAATATTTTATTAATATTTAAAATTTTAATGTCACATTTTTTTAAAAAAATTTAGGATTAAAGAACTAAAAATATATTTTTTTAAAATTAAAAGATCCAAATTAAAATTTTGTATAAAGTTAAAGAAGTAAATGTATACTTTAAATCAAAAATAAAATTGTTCCTAAATCAATAATGAGGAATGGTAATCAGGATGCATAGATATCCACCTCAGACAACTTAGCAATTTCTTTCAGGACATAACCTGCTGTCCGAATTTAATTTTTAAGATTTCGCCGCTTTGGGCTCGGGCACATGGTGATCGTGGCTAGTTAATCCTAAATTCCCAGTGTCCGCGGTTGCGTTTTGTCGCCCCTTGCCGGCTTCTAGAAAGAGAGTCACACAAGGACTAAAATGCCCTCGCACATCCATTTCTTCGCCATGTCATGTGAAGTAGGTGGAGAGTATTATGGTCATATCGCTGGTACTCCAACAGCATTTATCCAGGCAATAAAACTGTGGAGCGTCCTCCAGATACATGCCCACCATCACATCCAAATCAAACAAGATCAGAAATTGACATTTCGAAATTTACTGGCGCTTCGTCCTTTTCCTTCCCTTTTTCCCCTATTATTTTTATATTTTTGCCGAAGCATCGTCCTTGTCCTTTAAGTCCCATATATGTTACAGAATCCTATGTTGAAGAATCCTTGCATTCTGTCTCTCTATCATCATTCTGTGCTCCAACGTGAGCAAAGGACGACATGGTACTGCCCAATTCTCCTTTTCAAAATTTGGTTTCTGATTCTGGACGCGACGCCGTTCTTGGTTTGTGATTTTGAATTTTTGACAAATGCATTGCTTCTTAAGGGAAGTCCTTGCTGGGATTTGTCTCTGTCTTGGATATGCTGGGCCAAATTTTTTTCCCCTAAATGTTTCTGTGCGTGCTCGCTCACTCGTTCTGTGATTTTATTTATTTTGTTGATGCGGTTTTTTTCTTATCATGCAATTCAATCCGACAGAAGTGTTAAAATTGCTTACTGTGAGAGTTGAATATCAGTTTGCAGGACAATAGCCAAAATATAAGTCCTTGAATTATCTTACATTCCTTTGCCTTTTCGTTTGATTGGGAGCTTTGTTAAGTGCTTTAAATTAGAATGATATAAAATCCAGTAGGAAAATGGGTATTCTTATCTTTCAGTAATTAGTCCCAGATCTGGACGGAAAATTAACGATCACCCTAAGTTTCGACTAATTTTTCCTGCACCAATGAGTGAAAATGAAGAATTCATGTTTTATCTTCTGATCAATATTTAACCAGACTTTATCTGATATCATCCTTCATAAGGTTTTCAAAAGTATTATGACCTCTCTAATTGATAGCTTTAGGTTGAATCAGTGCTTTAAGAATTAGGATTTATCTGGTCTATGATACCTGTTATCCCAATTCAAGCTAAACTTGATTTGGATGAGAACAGCATCAAGTTTCTTGTTTAGAATTAGCCATTAGGGGAGAGCAATGGAGGACTAGGTTTCACTCTATATGGGTTTCTCTTATAGTTCCAACTGGAGTTCTTTTAGCTGAAATAAAGCAGGGAAATTATTGCCAAATGCATTCTGGTAGTCCACAGTTTGAAGTGAGACTCTGTATTCTTCTATTCAGTCATTTCAGTTTCAATCATTGGCTGCAAAATGAAGCTTTAAGTTGGGTCGTATTCTGTGGAAGATGATGTCGTATGCTGGTTTCCTTGCAAATATGAGCCATGTGAAATCTTATAGGGCTCCAATGAAGGGCTGAGAGGACTGAAGAACATTTTTTTTCGCTTTGCCAAAAAACCATTACTATATTTTCTATTTGAGGGTATAACGGGTTTCTGCGCTGGAAGGTTCTTGCCTTCAATTTTGGGGGAAAACTGTAAAGTCATACCATAAATTTAAGATGAATTATACCACGTTACCGAAGGTATATAATGTGAAAAACCAGTGTAGAAGGACAATCTGTGCGACTAATTGGTGATGTTAGCATATCATTTATTTTCCCTCATAATGTTTTTCCTGTGATATGCGCTTCATTTTTCTTTTTTGTGATTTAATTACTGTACCATGGGAAACAGAAATGGAACTTTGATCATATTTTTCTTTTTCTTTTTCTTTCTTCCCTTGTTTTTTCCTCTCCCCTCATAATTATTTATCCATGCAGCTGAAATAATTTTGGGGAGCATCAGTTCTTTTCAAATACTGTGTCATTTCAAGGAGAAAACTGTAACGGAGCTTGGAGCTCATTCTAGAAGAAATAATCACTAGATGTTATTATTTTGCAATTATTGTGTGGAATGATCACTCAATTTGGATGTGATGGAAGTCAGTGCAGTTAGTTCACATTCCAATAGGTTGCAAACCTTGAAGCATTCAACAACAGCAGATGACGGGAAAATGCCTTGTGAAAAGGGATATAGAAGTACTCGTATCAGTGGGAAGCCAAATTTGACAAACACTTCCTCTTTTGTTAATCATGGTGAGATTATCACGCAATCAGATAGATGCATGTTTTCTTCTCTTTAAACCATGTTATCATCTCTTTGTAACCAGGCTGTTGTACAAAAATCAATAAACTCATCTTATTGGTATTTGTCACTATTGATGCTGATTATAAGGATGATTCAAGTATATCCATAGACTTTTGGGAAGAATTTGGTGTAGGGACAGTATTGAATAACATCCTTCTTATATGGGGAGGTTATAGGAGAACCAATGGTTAGCTGTTGCGAAAAACAATATTTAAAATTTTCTTTTGAAATGGTTGGGCGAAAACATCAGAAATCCTTGATTGAGGTGGCAAGAAAATTGCCAATGAATTGATAACTCATATGGGACCAACCCAAGTCTTTGTCATTGAGGCGATCTTGATTTTTTGTGGGTTTACAACCTATCCCTTAACCTTTTCATGGTAAATAACATCCTATATTTCTAAAAAGTAAAAGTAAAAATATAAACAAAAAAAAAAAAAAACAATGCTTAGAAAGACTCTTAAACGGGAGCTTTGTGACAACAGACATGTCAGTTTCTAGGAAGCTAGTTCTGTTTCCGTTCTGTGGTTTGTCAAACAGAAAATCTAAATTCTACGTTTTTGTTATATAAATTTTATGAGCACTCTGTCTCCGGCAATTGATTTCCCCTACCAATTTCTTTGAATTCCTTTTGTATCAGATACATAAACTTCGGGCTCTGGGAAACTGAGCCACCAATATATGATAACAATAGATCCTAGAATTAAGTTTTGTGGCCAGTCAATGTGCTACTATAGGATATTTAAATCTGAGTATTCCAATCATGTTGATCGTCATGAGTTCATGGCCATCTGAGTGGGAGACAATAAGCTTCGAATTGTTAACTCTCTAGGAAGTAGTTAATAGATTGAAAGAAAGGATAAAGTCATAGTCATAATTTTTTTTCCCTAATCTCAATTCTTGTAAGTTCTTGTTATTTAAGGCCTAATATGGATGAATATACTATGCAGCTGCAATTGCATGGCATGAGGAGAGAAGAAAGTGGGTTGGAGATAAGTCTCAACATCCACCAAGAATGGCTAAAGACCCAATTATTAGGTATACCCTCCCCTATCGGAGGAACTGAATCTGTGAATCCTTATCGAATATTTGAGAATGTGGTGGTTCTCTTGGTTAGATATGTAAACCAGTGCTCCTTTGAATTCTATTTATTAACTGATGACAACTGCCGCACAACCAATGAGAATGAAACTGTTTCATCTGTTAATGATTAATGTCATGCTCAACTGTTAGGCCCTGGTATATTCACACAGAACGCCAGAATACAGAAAAGAGAAGCAAAAGATAGGAAGAACTTGAATTTGTATGGATCATTCTAAAATACCCTGCATCAGCTTTTACAGATATTCCCAAAACTAACAGCTGGCTTTTGAGAGGCCGGTCCTCTCTTCACTTTCTGGTGTTTGGTCCAAAAGTGCCTTGTAACTGGAACTCAGTTCTATCAAAAAGACATTCTCAACAACTCCCTAAGCATCCCCTTATCATGGCAGAGCAAATCTTACTTCTTGTCCTCTTCCCTTTTCGTCTCTTGACTCTCTTTCTCATCTCTTTGGCCTGTTGTTTCCAGTGCCAGTGGTTTTATCCCCTCCACATGGCTCACCGCCTTTAGGGCGTCTGTTATAATTTTTAGGGATGGCCGTAGGTTGATCCTGGGGACAATCTCATCACAAAAAAGGAAAAAAAAAAGTTTTATCTAGGATTATGGGTTCTATAATCCGTAGTTATACAATATTATTTTTTTAATCCACAGACAACTCCTATCTTTTGGGTGTTAATCCTTCCCTGTCAGCAATGCATTCTGTAGCAGTGAAAAATGTTTACATTGGTTACTTGGTGATTTTCTCTCTTTTCTCTTTAGAATACAAGTCTTTCTCCAGGTTTATTGAAACTTATTCCATGTATACTTAGCCAAATTCTCATCTACTACGAAGTTTGAAAAATGGCAGATGGATTAGTATTCCTTGTTACGGGGTTGTGCTAAAGTTATGCTTGTAATAATTACATAATAAATTTCAATTATCGCTGCTCTAAACAATTTAAAATATCCTTGATGCAGTTGGTCGACGTCATATGAAGAGTTACTTTCTACTAATGAACCTTTTGCAGAGCCAATACCTTTGCCGGTAAGATTCTATCGTTTGCATGAACATATACACAGCCATATGCCTATCAAAATCATGAAGTAATACTTATAATTAATGCGGCGAAATTTTTCTAAGGATAAAACTTGCCTGCATTTTCTTAGATATTTGCTGCAAGTCCTTAAATAAAAACATAGTATTTCAACTTTGTTGCATCCTTGACTCCTTTAAAAAGGTGACATATGCGAGAGATAGAAAGTCTGTACCCTTGAGATCGAAGGGACATTGAATGATGATTATAAAGTGATGCCCTCAAGGCATCTCCGCAGCTCACTAATCTATGCCATTGAAGATGGTTTTTTAGATTTCCCTATCATTATGTTGTACGAGTAGTTGAGGGAAACCTCAAAAACTTTCTGAATCTGTGCTCCGTGATGTTATTTTGATGTATTGGTCACTTGATGCAGGAGATGGTAGATTTCTTGGTTGATATTTGGCATGACGACGGGCTCTTTGACTAATTGTTCCAAGGTTGAAATAAATGTCGACTGAAGCAAGAACCCTGTAAAGCCTTAAAGCTCCATTCATTTGCCACTCACTGGTCATGATGGTTATGAGAGAGGGATACTATTGAGGATCATTACTTTATCCTCCTAGTACATTTTTTTCTTTTTCGCAAGAAAACAGATGGAAAGTCCCTAGTTCTCGTTGATTTAAGAGAAAAACCAATTGATATATTTCATCACTGCACTTTTATAAGCCGTTTCTTACAAGGTCCTTCGATGTGTGTTTTTTTTTTTTTTAAATAACTCTGCCATACGAATACCTTTTACCTAGAATTATTTTATTACAAGTAATAAATAAAATATTTAACCATCCTTTTGATTTCTTACTGTATATTTGACTTTTAATTTGGTTATTTTATGTTGTGAATCGACGAAACGGATGCAAAAACCTGGTTTCCTCACACTCGAGAATAAGACAAAGGTGTGAGGTAACTCAACGAATATCTATTAAGGGTGTTTGGCTATTTTCCCAAACCATGGTTTGGGAAAAATTCAGCCAAACACCCTATTTTAATTTCAAACCATGGTTTTGGGGGAAACCATGATTTTGCCCCCCAAAACCATGGTTTCGGATGAAGCTCTCCGGAGCTGCTTCTGGCTTAATTATTGATCGCTGATGGTGGGCCCAAGAAATATTACAGAGAGCAGTGTCAATTATTTGCCATTCCTTCACTCTTCCTCGATCCCACGCAATAGAGGTCCTTCACTATCGGTGCTTCGCTCTGAAGAAAACAGAGCTCTTCGGTCCTTCACACCTCTGTCCTTCGCTCTCGGCGGCAAAGCACACTCGGCGGCGACAATTTGTTCCATCCTTGCAGAACTGGGTTCTGTAACGAGAGGGGTGAAGCCAGCATTCAAACACTCCGTGAGCAAACTCGCACGATTCACCTTTCTTGCAGTTACCTTTGCAACGAGAAGTTCTTCTGCGTGTGCTACTTGGGTATCACCAATCAATTCAGCTTTCCCACGTTGCTTGGCGTGACGGTTTTATCGAACAGCTGCTCACGCGCTTTCTGTGTCCTCTCAAAGCACGACCCTGCGCCGCTGTCCTTCCATGACTTCCCGTTGCTTCCCCCGGCCAAACCTCAGTTGCGCTTGCTCTGCTCGAGTTCGTCATTGTAGGTGTGCTTCCTCAGCATGTCCACGATCTCGGCTTTGGAATGAGAGTTGAGGAAGGTCGTCTCGGTATCATCGTCCGACGCATCGTCAGAGCTGTTGCCGTTGAGGGGCTTGAAGTTGGTGACGGCATCCTTGCCGCGGAACCTCTGGGCGGCGATGTCGTAGGCTCTGGCAGCCTCATCTTCCTTGTTGAACGTACCCAGCCAAACACGCTGGTGCTTCTCATATATTTGGGCCCCCCATCGTCCATTGGATTGCGGCACCACTCCCTTGTATTTGGACGATGGCAGTTTCCTGGACTCAGCCTCAATAACGCTGCCATCGGAGTCCAAAACAGTGCTGGCGCCGCTACCAACCCGACAAAGACTATTTGGCGATGACTTGTGAGGCGTGACGTTGAGCGGCGATACAGTAGTTATGGCCGAAGAAAGCGATATGGACACCGAATCACTCGTCGTGCTTTCATCTACGCAACTACTTGCATCCATGTTTGCTTCTTATCTATGGTATGTGTGAGGAAAGCAAAAGAAGGAGAGGAAGAGAGAGAGAGAAGGAAGAAGGTATATGATATTTTGGACTAGAGGAGCAGCGAAGAGGAGAGAGAAGTGTGGGAATAGAGGAAGAGGAAGGAATATATATATATATATATATATAGAGGGAAGAAGGTGTGGGGGCGGGGGGCTGTAATATATCATACTGGGGATAAAATGAAATGAAAAAGGAGAGTATTAAAATTATGAGGGGATAAGTCCAACTATGGTTTAAAAATATCTATTGGTTTCATTTATTAGATCAACATTCATTTCTGATCCTGGTTTCATTCAGTTTGAACAATAAGGTTCTTATGCAAAAGAAAAAAATTATGGGATTTCATCTTTAAAATCTTTAAGAAATAATAATATTTTTTTTGGCAAAATAAATCATTTTCCTAAAAACATATTTAATTATTTTATTAATATATATACACATTATTTTTTTATTATTTATGTCTTATTTATTATGTTGTCAAAATATACATTATTAACAAATTTATTACTTCAAATAAACATATATTGTGAAATATATCTTATATATAATTATCATTTAAACTTATATCCTTTTTAGTAATTTCTACATATCAAAAAGCACTTCTGACAACAACTATCCAAACACTCTCATTTTATCAGAATCACTTTTTCAGAAAATCTATTCTTTCAAGAATCTATTCTCTCCAGAATCTATTCTCCAGAAGCTATTCTCCAAACCATGGTTTGGAGAATAGCTTCTGGAGAATAGATTCTGCAGAGAATAGATTTTGTGAAAAAGTGATTTTGAAAAGTGAGAGTGTTTGGATAGTTGTTACCAGAAGCATTTTTTACATGTGTAAATTACTAAAAAGGACATAAGTTAATATGACAATTATATAAGGGATAGATTTTATAATATATTTTGATTTGAAGGAATAAAATTGTTAACAAAATAATTTTTACCAACATAATTAATAATATATAAGATAATATAATTAATTAATAATTAATATGCATATATATTTATAAATTATAAGATTAAATATGTTTATAGAAAAATAATTATTTTTTTCTAATAGAAAAATATTAATTTTCTTTAAAGATTTTAAACATGAAATTCTATAACATTTTTTCACAACTAGTTTTTATAATAACATACTACCTCTCATCTTTAATATAATTAATTAATTATTACTACATGTGTAAAAATATTTATAAAATATAAGATTAAAAATATTTTTGAAAAAGATGAATAATTTTTTATAAACAGAAAAGAAATATAAAAAAAAAGTACAATGTAACAATATACTACCTCTTTCTGGTTAAAAAAAAAAAAAAGAAAGACATACCACCTCTCTAAATAGTAAAGGACCGGAAGATTGAAGCTTGAGGGGCATATGTGTCTAGTTCCAAAAAAAGATCCTCGTATCCGTATGACACTCTCTAATTTTTTGTGCAAAAGCAGATTCAAAATGCTTTTTCCAAAACCATAGTTTTGGAGCCAAAATCATGGTTTTAATTTTTTTATGGGTGTTTGGGTTATTTTGGTTTGGGAAGACACCCAAACACACCCTAAAAGTAGACAAACCAAGTTGAAAAGATCTGATTATCCCAGTTGGTACTACAAAAAATTTGATGAACTAACTCATAATATCACATTAATATTTGTTGGTCATGTCAGAATTGCACAGGCCAGTTCGATCAGTTAGATTATAAGCGTGTTTAACAACCTTCAAAATCACTTTTGAAAATCACTTTTCTGTAAAATGAGATAAATTCTTTCATATATTTACTTTGTAAACTGTAAAAACACTTTTGAAATCATAATTTGGTTTCCATCCAAACACTCCCTATGAGCTAGCAGTACGTCCTGTTCAAACTCTCCTAGAACTAGCCAGAAAGTGAACCAGCGAACACTATTCAAACCTTTTGGCCCCCAAAAAGAAAAGAATACTCTTCCAACCGGTCTTGAGCTGGGTTTTTTTTAATTTGTAATGATCCAAAATTATGTTATTTTTTTGTTTTTTTGTTTTGGGCTATTTTTCTTTAGTGTTATGTATTTGATGATTCATTAATGGTTTTGATTAATCGTAAAAGTTTTTGCAAGTTTATTTGGATAATTAATCTGGCATATTTAATTATTTTGGTTATTTGTAATGGATAATTAATGCTTTTAATGCAATGCGAGAGTGACTGATGGACAGTTTTTCCCTTTCTGGAATAATTTTAAGAAATTGCTATGGAGGTTGACGGATGTCGAGAGCGAAGATTTCACAGAGGGAAGGAGTTGGGTTTTCTTTAGGAGGGATGAGCGGAGATTTACTAGACTGACCGATGTCAGAGTTACTTTCATGGGACATCTGACATCACCAGCAAGTTTGATCGTTGAAGGCGTTGATGAATTGCTGTTGGTGGTTAGGTCGGAATCGCAGCTTCGGATGTGTAGTTTGGCGTCCAAGGGATTTTGATTGATTACGTTTCTAGTTTCATTCAAAGTAGATTTTTGTAATTCACAAATGATATGATATATTGCTACGTAACTGTTCATCATCGAAAGCTGAAAAAACTTGCATTTTTATTTTTACCTATACCTTAACTTCATACGTCATCAAATTTTATCTCCGTTCAACAAGAATTCATAATTTTCTGTATTCCGAATAATATTCTCATATTAGGAGGGGGGGCGGCATACAGTCCTCCGTTCATATGTATTGAGCCTCGCTGCAATAGCCATCTGTGATCTGTCCACGTACTCGTTGCTTCAACTGCAAGCAAGCACGCTCTCTCCCTCTGCATCCTATTCTTTTTGGGAAGCCAAGTGTGGTCTCTCCCAGGATGAAGAAGATGGGTTCTTTAGGATGATTCCACCTGTGTTCTGTGCTCTTGCTGACTATGGCATTCGTCTCGCCTTCTTTGTCTTCTAACACCGACGATGATCTTCGCCAGGTGGGTTATGATTTCCCATCCGTTCAGGCGAAGAAGCTCATTAGGGAGCTCAGTTTGTTCCCTCGCGGGGATATTAATATCATTCTCGCTGGTAATTCTTCTGCTGAGCCGAAGATTGTTGAGAAGCGGTTCAGTTTCCCCTATGTGGTGGATTTGGAATCTCGGGTCTCGCTTGAAGATTTGGGTCATCATGCTGGTTATTACAACATCGGTCATTCTCACGCAGCAAGGTCGAATTTCCTCTCAAATTTTTCTGGGCTAACTCTTTCTTTTGAATTATTTGAACAAATTTGTTGGTTTATTATGGTTTACATTCCCCGATTCATTCCTATGTCTGAAAACACCTAGCTGTAAACCCTGAATTTTTTAAGCGTTTACTTTACAATGTTCACATAAGCCGAATATGACTCTATCAACGCCAAAAAGGTTCTTTGTAATTGTTATTTTATGTTTCTTTTGGATGATGTCCTTATTCTTTTCTAATTATTTCATATATGTTGAATGCGGCAGGATGTTCTACTTCTTCTTTGAATCTCGCAACAGCAAGAAGGATCCTGTTGTGATTTGGTTAACCGCGGGAACCTGGTTGTAGCAGTGAATTGGCTTTGTTTTATGAAAATGGTCCTTTCAAAATTACCGGCAACTTGTCTCTTGTTTGGAACGACTATGGTTGGGACAAGGTATCCTAAACATCTGCTAGTACTTAGTATCCTTATAACTATAAGTTACCATGGCTAAAATGTCTTATTGTGTGAGTACTTTGATCAGCTTGTGCGTCCATGGAGGTGTGTGCGCATGGGGTGGAAGGAATCTTAGGAATTTCCTGTGTGTTTGTTCTGTGCTTTAAGTTACTAGCTTGTTACAGTTTACATCGATGATATTATTGCTGCCTCACCTTCCAATTAAGTTGATATTCCCTCCATCCCTTTTTATAAGAAAGCATTTCTTGATGTCCTTAAATACAAGAAATAAATCTTTTGGCTCAAATTTTTAACTTTTCACTTTTATCCCTAATAAATATATGCGAGTTATTATCTCTTTATAGTAAATTTTTATTCATTATTTCTCTTTGTACTCTCTTGTATTAATGACATTAATGCTCCTGCCGTGCTAGCAGATGTAGTGAGATCTGGTCAGAGACCAGTCTTTAGGTGTCATTCCTGGCATAACTCGAACAGCGGCTGACAGTTTTTAAACAGATGGAACAACTGAAAGATGTGCAAAGATCTTCACTTTTCTTACATGGAAATAAGTGTAGCTTGGCTCCGTGTTCCATTAAATTTTACGTAACAAAAAAAAATGGTTTCTCAATTAGTTCTTGTACTGAGAGTTTTCTGGTTGCTGAGATATGATCTCTTTGATACTTCATAAATAGATTCTTTTTCCTGTACGAGGTGCTAGAGAAATAATAATTTAAAAATATGTAGAGAACTGTATTATTTTTCTAGCATTGAAATCTTATTGAAATGTACAGAAAATGACTGAAGTATAAAAAGGTTATTTAAAGCCTAATGAATGTCAAGGAAAATTGAAAATTGAAAATAAAAAAATTACAGGAAGCTCGAAAGAAGGTTATCAAGAGTTATATGCATTATGCCTCCGTGTAGATTTTACATTTTTATGTTGAGCAACAACAGTAATGATCAAATAAGGGAAAAATTAGAATCTCTATCCGTCCTTTTAGAAGGAGAATGAGGAAAAAGCTCATACAGAACCCGCGTTTTCAATGAGGCCCTCAGATTGGACATGTTTTGAATCATTCCCTCATAGGGTCAAATACGTCAGGCATTTTGCTTAGGTGGCCATAGCTAAGCAGCGAATAATTTTTTTTTGTTTTGGGGTATGTGGGAGCGAATAATTTAATAAGTTGGAGTTTCTTTGATCAATCCGTAAAGCAAGTTGAAAAGGAGACCTTGTGAAGAATTATAAGAAGCTTACGAGAAAAATATCCCTACTTTGTTTTTCAGTGATACTTTACTTGGTAAATCAGACAGAGTGTTGACCCTAAAGAAAAAAAGGAGGAGGAAAAGGAAAGACAATGCAATATCGTGATCACGTCTTCCCCTCTTACTTGACCCGAAGCTTCTTTTTCATGAAGTCTACCATCCCCCTTTCAAGAAACAGGTACTTTGGCTATCAATTAAGAAACCTCCCAAATCCATCGAATAAAAAGGGGGGAGAAACTTAGTTTGTGTGTTGAAATATTTGTTTGTGTTCTTCATTTGACCCCTTTTTGTTGAAAAAAAAGTTTCAATTATTCAACATTGACACAGACAAAAACAGGGACATTGTTAAAAGGACAGAGAGGCCTGGCAGACGGGGGCCTGGTAATTGAGGCAGCAGCTTTTGTTCGCCGCCTTTGCATATTTTTTTCATTAAGGAAAATTAATCTAGAAGTCCTTATAATTTCACCTAATTTTGAATTAGGTTCTTAAGTTTTTCTTCTTCTTTTTATTGGGTCTTTTAACTTTTTGATGTTATATTTATCAGTCTTTTTGTTAAATAAAATGAATGCGGTTCTGCAGTTGATGCCTGAAACATTCTTCTCTTTTGCTATCCCAAATCATGCTCCCGTCAGTATCTTTTTCTTTCCCATCATGCTCCCTACCTCACCATTCCTTCCTGTCATTGTCATCAACAGGGACAATGTTATCTAAGAAGCTGAACCGCCAAAGCCACAGTGTTAGGATATCTAGGCGGTAGTGCTTGTTGGTGGACTCCCTTTCTTCCATTGTCATCAAGGATTCCACCACCTAAAACAAATAAAATTTTATCAATAAATTACTTTTCATAAATGCAAATATATTGGTAAACTACAAAGCATAGAATGAAAACAAATAATTTAATATCGTATCAGTGGTGATATCAAAAGACCAAATCGCCAGCGTATCTGGTTTTGGTTATGGCAGCAGAGGAATGTGGGTTGGGAAGCTTTTGTGAGAGCTGGGTTTTGCAAATGTTGATATTTGCTAAGTCTTTCTGTAACTAACAATATATTCTGTTAAACCAAGAGCATCAAATTCAGCGTACAATAGCTTTCTATTCAAAGCAAAGTTGAAATTGAAACAATCACATTAAAGATTAGACATGCATCCATCTGCTACTGCAAAAACATGAAAAAGACAAAAAGCAAATCAACACAATCATCTACAACCTGGTAAAAAGAAAAGAAGTCACCTATAACACACGTTACCGACTCACAAGGAATAGTCCATGAATGAGCAGAGACAAATGGCTTCATTCTTTTATATACAGTACTTTATTCTTATGGCGCCTTAGGGAAGGTGTTATGGAGAGGTGGGAAGGAATGGTGAAGTCAGGAGAATGACGAAGAAGAGAAATGTGTTGAGAAATGAGAGCATGGTCTAGGTTATGGCCAAAAAAGAGAAAAGGAGAAAAATGTTTTAAGCGTTAATTACATATTTCTAATGGTGTTTATTTTATTTAACAGAAGAACTAATAAATATAACATTAAAAAGTTAAAGGATCTAATAAAAATAAAAAAAAACTCAAAGACCTAATTCAAAACTGAGTAGAAGACTTCCAGATTAATTGTCCCTTTTCATTATTTTTTATTTTTTGGGGGCTGATTTGCGCCCATTATCCGGGGTTTTTTTCGAGTGGTCACTGCGGTACATGGGAGGCGAGCTTGTTGCAAGAAATTTAAAATATTCGAGTAAACTGTAAACTTAAACAAATTTTAACATATTTTGTGTTGAAGAAAAAAAATTTGCGAAGATTTCTTATTTCAGAGGGAAAAAACGAGGCTTTTTTAATAAAATAATGAAGTGTGTGATTTTCTGCACGTTTATCAATTATCATGAAAGGAAAATACAACTTATCTCGCTTTACCCAAAAAAAAAAAGAAAAAAAAATACAACTTATCTCCTATCCTGCTATTTCTATACTTTGGATTTAAAATATTTGAATATTATAAATATAAAATGTGAAAGATTTTTATTTTTAACTTGAAGCCTATTAATTGGGAATAAAATTGAGGCACGATTTTTTTGGAAAAGTTAAAACGATTGACTTTTGACCTGAAAATTTAAACAGTATACTCTCTTCGCTTCTAAATATAGATCTCTAAATATAACAAAAATAAATTAGTTTTTTGTTATTAACATGTCAACAATTTATGATATTTTTCTTGAGAAACCTTTCTTATTTTTTGGACTATTGAATATATCATTAATTTAAATTAATCCGTGATCGAAGAACAAGATGCTTAGGATGAAGAAACACAATATGTTCTTCCTTATTCTGAAGATGAGGAGACTGATTCTGAATCTTTTTCCCAAGAAGATGATGAAGAGATCATTTTCACTTTGCTACAGGATCGGAATAATTATCTCTTAGATACTCGTTCATTTTAGCTTTGCCGTGCCCCCTTATTTTCTGGACTTAATTGTATTCCGAAAGTTACTTGAGTGAAATAGACTTTTTGGCAACAAACAAAAACAAAATCCTCTACAAGGTCCTAGAAGAAGCACGAGAGGTTACTTGCATTTTGAACTAATTTTCTATTAGCTCATTCACCGCGTGTTAGATTTTCTAAGCCTTTGCGGATTGATCGAAATCAGATACATATTTTAATTGTTCACAACTGATGGCAATGAAAAGAGAATATTTTTTATTCTGTCAGAGTGCATCAAGCTTCGGAGTCAAGGAATGGTGTGAAAAAAATACAAGTTCTTAATTTGATATTTTGTTTTCAGCTCCAAAAAAAAAATTGATATTTTATTTCCAAAAAAAATTAATTAAGTAATTAAAACTATTTAACTAATGAAATGACGCAGTGATGGGCTCGACTTGGCTAGCCCATCAAACTGGACCAATTTAATAAAGTCCTACATTAAATTGCGCAAAATATTCAGTGAGGATTGCCTTTATATGTGTGTGTATATATAACTCAGAATTTCTTCTAATCACTTTAGCCTTGAGAGTTTAGAGTAATTTCTATCTAACCGGGAGGGTTAAGGTCACTTCCCCAAATTCGAACTTGTGTTTTCTTGCAAATGAAACCACTTACTATCTTAACCAACAACTTGTTGATGGACATTGCCTATTTTCAGTTACAAAGAAATTGCCATGATGGATTGTATTACATGACTGTACAAGTAATGTTACATGTACACCATAGGACTGATAGCCGTGTTAGGATTGGAAGAATAATTGAGTTCTTGTTATTCAGGCAAAAGAGGAAGTCTGGTGACACTGGTGCGATTGCCACCCCCAGAAACCCGATTTAGAGGGCTTCTTTTTGCATTCCCGCTCAGCTTCAAGGGCAGAATCTGCAACCTGGGGTTCTGTTCACTACCTGACTTTTCAGCCGACAACTGATAGCTTTCTACAAGTTCAAGCTGCCGGGCAATTATTTCAGAACGTCGAGGAAGAAGCTCCACCGGCTCTCCGCCGGGAATCACAATGTATTCTATCGCAAGGCGGACCTCCTGTCAACAAAACAAATTAGAATATAACATCATTAATCGAACTAGAGAGATTGCATATAATATAACCCGAGCAACAATTTACTGAAAAAGCAAACGACTGCTTTATAATATGGGGGAAAAGGTTGATGCCGCGTTTAACCTTAGCTATGAAGTTATTCAACAAAATTGTGACATACATAACATCATGCAAACCTAAGTAGTGATAATTGACACTAATTAGGTTTGCATTACAATTTGAGACTGGCTCTGACACAGACTGGCTCACAAGCTTGAGCACATGCCCATTCTGAAGAATAACCCCCTTTAAAACCATCTTGCAATGAACACTGAAATTGAGACGATGCATTAACAAAACAGTCACTTTTCATAACAGTCACTTTTCATGGTGCTAGATTGCACAGCACAGAGCATGACCCAGAATTGCATGCAGATTGTGGAATATCAAGAGGTGCAGTCATATACTAAGAAGCAGGGCTTGTACCTCCAAGGCATCAATTTCTTCCAAAGATGGTTTTCGTTTTGGTTCATCATCCTGAATTTCAATATTTAAGGAGTCGCTAAATGGCTTCTTTGACGTAGGGCCAAATGATTCTAGCCCAAGGAGCATACGCACTGCCTTGACCATTTGTGCCATGGTATTTGACTGAAAAAATTGAAATTAAAAAGGAATCAAATGCCAAAATACAGGAACATACGCTGATTCAGAAATAAAGAGGCAGTCAGAGGTCACCTTAATGACAAATACAGGCAACTGGTGGAATTTCGCAACTCCACGGATCCACGGATTCTGTCGTAACTCAGAACTCAATGCTAGAATTGCATCAGCAGCTCCAATATCACCAGTTACATCTATTACATCCTCAAGTCCCATCACCTTAGCTACTTGAAGTAGATCAGCTTCAAGGATCTAATCTCGTCAAAAGAATAAGCATTGTCCAAAAAACATATTACGACAAGTCTCCAGCCATATAATTATTTCAGGTTTTATAATCATGGCACTTGTCAATTAAGCCAAGGATTAAAATCCTTGATAAAATGTCCGATTCCATATTACTTTATAAAGCAAGCACAAACTTTAAAACAATTTACCTTGTAAGTATACACTTGAAGAGGAGCACTCCTCTTGATTCCAGATCTACTAGAGCTCCATTTCTTGGACCAAGTCGCAAGGTGATCTCTTTCTTGCTCACTGGAGTCAATGCCAGCATTCACGATACTATCATCAGTTGCATAAGGTCTTTCTTCACCGTCTTTTTCAAGCAGTGGAGTATACTTCACTGAATCATTGGCAAAGTCATCCCATTGACGAAGTTCATACAATGGAGACTTTCCTGCAATACATAATTTTTCCGTTTAAACTTCAATTTTACAAACATGCAGAAGTAAATATCAGTTAAATGAAATTGATATTTTGTTAAGGAAGCCGAGAGAACCTGCCAAAATGGCATCCACTGTTGCATCTAATCTATGGTGAACACGACATTCAGTTTTGGATATCATCTCTACAGCACAAGTAAATGTAGGAGGTCCTTTCCTTTCAAGAATTGTCTTCTGTACTTTTCTTTTCCTTGCTTCCTCATCCCCAAGGGTCACACTCTATTGAAGAGAACGTCCATTAAATATTACTAGCTTGGTAAACTCACATGTCCCTTTAAAATATTCTTTCAAAATTCAAGATTGATTCTCTTTGAAAATGGATTAACTAAAAAAGAAAATCAATAGCGTATGATAACCAATATAAATAAAGAAACTGAGATAAATCCTAGAACAGTTTTAGACCTCTATGCCACCAACAAGAATCTGTAGAGAAGGATTTTTTGTTATGTTTTCTATGGTCATCCCATGTGCTGTTCCAACCAATTGAACTCCTCTTTGAGCAATGGTGCTTGCTGCTAATGCCTCAAGCTCAGTCCCAATTTCATCTATTATGATGGTTTCGGGCATATGGTTTTCTACTGCTTCAATCATAATCTGCATAAAGAAACAACATAAGCAACACTGCAGAAGGCAGAAAAACATCAGAAGTCTCAGAATACAAGAGATTGAGATGAGTACTCACATTATGCTGCATATTTACATTGGGAACTTGCATTCTCCTTGCACGACCAATGCCTGCATGAGGGACATCACCATCACCTCCAATCTCATTGGAGGTATCTACTATGACAACACGCTTCATAAATTCATCTGCTAGCATCCTAGCAATCTCTCTAGACAAACGAAGCCACATTAGGCATATATACCGGTCAATAAAAAACGCAACTACTAATTTAATGGCCAAAGGTACCTAAAAAGCACTAATCTTTCCAAAATCTTTTAACATATTTTGACATTCGCAAAACTGCGTTGATGAATAAGCTTTACATGGTAAATATAGCATATGCTAAAGGGGAACCACACAAATTTATTCACTGACAGGTTTTACCTGATTAAGGTTGTTTTACCCACTCCAGGAGGTCCTATTACCAAGATGGAGCCTCCGTCCTCCACTAAATCACGTATAATCTCAGCACTACCAGTTACAGCTCGACCCACCCGGCACGTGAGGCCAATAACTTGCAATTTACGATTACGAATTGCACTTATACGATGTAAAGAGCTATCAATACCCGATCTGTTGTCATCAGAAAACTCACCAACCTAACACGATAACAAAAATTCTCTGAAAAAGTAGTAGATCTCAGCTTCCAGACATAGTTCAACTCGATAAAGATTGATACAATCACACAAAGGATCCCCAGCTAAAGTAGTAATCAATTAGCAGCCGAAATAACGAGACCAAGGGTGAAGTTTGACTACTAAAGTTTGTCTAATAGAACAGAAGTTATCAATCTTTCCTTATCTATCTGAAGGTTGTACTAACCACGCGTTGACACTCTCCAGAGGAATCAACTCCCATCGTGTTAATGAGCTAATCCCGTTGGGTATTAGACTCGCAATTTCCAACAAGATGGTCAATCATAGAAGCCATATGCGTTAACTTACCTTGGAAATCGCGTGCCGTAAATCATCGTGCCTTATGGGATGTTGCGAGATTTCCCAGTCACCAGATGGGAACCGAGCAATAGGCTTCCTACCCAAATCCATCACAACTTCAATAAGCCCGCCAAGTTCGTCGTGGCGATACAATTCCCTCCTCATTTTCAAAGGCAATAAATCGAGAAACAGCTCTAATTCGGAAGCAGCCCCGGTGCGCGAAGTGGAAGGCAGGTTCTGAGAACTTGAGGAGGAGAAGCCATTAGCAGAAGAGAATCGGTCAGAGGGTCTTCGAATTTCCGGGGACGGGATCGAGGCAGAAGATGAATTGGAGCGGATCGCTCTGTGGGAATGACGCGTTCGACGAAACGACGAGGAGATGGTGGAAATGACGGTGGAGGATTTGAGGTAGGCGAGAGTTGAAGAGGGGATATGGTGGGCGGAGCGCCAGGAAGAGTGAAGATCGATGATGACGAAATGCGAATTCAAAGCTCTCATTCTGCCAGGCGAGGGAGGCTAGAAGGAGCGGGGCATGTTGTGTGATGGATGTGAAGCGGAGATAAGCAAAGAAGGAAGAAGATGAATGGAGATTCGAGAGAAGAAGATTCGAAGGAATCTACGGAGGGATTAGATGGGATGGGAGGATAGGAGAAGCTAAAAGCATCAGTGAGAATGAACCACGTGGGGCTGCCATGCCAACCACACGTTGTCTGGAGTAAGACACGGAGACTGTTTGCGTTCACGCCTTCACGGCTTCCGCTCTCTCATAAGTCATAACGCCCTTATTTGAATTTACTTTTCTCTTTCCCATTTTATTTGTTCTTTTCCAGAGCGATAGGAGTAACCGTCTGAAAAAACAAATTCATAAAATTGATA